AGTCAAAGAGATCGGTCCGCATCTCCAACCCGAAGAACTCCCAGCAGAAGAGACGAAACTACCAATCGAGATAATGCAAATAATGTAAATGATGCCGGTGGAAATTCCTGACGATCGCGATTCCGAGTTGGCCAACCCCGAATTAGCTGACGAACTTCTAGCAACGAAAAAAATTTCGAAACACTTTCCTGCAACACCAGCCGAAGAATGTATTCATGTCATAGTCGAGCCACCGGTGCAAATCGCCAGTTCGAGCCGTGAGCAGGAACTTTTGGACCGGTTAGCATCGCTCGAGAACAACCGCAGAGTGTTCACGATTAAAGCTTCGTATGGGAAACAACGCATGACTTTCTCCTGACCGGCTGATATAGGTTCAGTAACATTGGATACTATGAAGCTAGCAATCCTCAAAGTCCTTCCATTTCCGCAAGATACGAAGCCTGAGGATTTAACGTTATGTTTTGGTAGAACCGATGAAAAAAACTGCGAAGAGTTAGGTTTGGAAGATGATACCACATTTAGGCAATATCTTAAATCTTGCACCTTGTAGGCATTCTTCTCTCTCAAAATACAAATCGATACTGTGCAAAAACCATTCTCGGACTGGAAACTCGGAAAAGTATGTGAACTTCTTGGTCTCGCACCGGGTATTGACGAGTTTCCCACTTTCGATTGCGGTATCGACAAACTCGATTCGGAAAAAGCCAAGGATTTGATGTCTCATCTTTACAAAGATTTGAGGCTTCGTTGTAAAGCGATTCACGGTGAAACAGAAGCCACTACGTCTCCCCGTTCCTTGTAACAGCTACTTCGCTTTTCGATGGGTTAGTAAAGTTATATCCACAACTATAATATGTTGAAGGAAAATATGGCCGAGGTCCGCTCGATTTCTCCTTGGAGTAATAATCGGAGTTGTGGAAGTAATAAAGAAGATTTTGACCAAGGCATGGCCCAGGTAGAATAAAATCATAATTTTTGCATTCAGATATACTGTATATATGTTACTAATTTGATAATTTTACAGAACTGCATTCGTCTCTTGAAACGTAAGCATGATGAAATCGAGAGTGATTCTGCTGATAACGCATACGGAATCGTTACCGATGGCTGAGCATGGTACTTTGTCGAGTTTATTATGAATGGCGATAAACCAAAAATCAGCGTGCATTCGGAAACGCCAGCCGTTTTGGATTGGACTGAGGAGTCGGAGGGTTTGGAAAAGGGGACAGGTAGAATATTGGGTCGAATCGTTTGGCTTCTAAAAGAAGCGGAGCAGTGGGGAAAGTTAAATATGGCAGAGATCATGGGTGCTTTGTAATTTATTGAATATTTTTATTAACCAACTAGAAATCAAAATTTTTAGGGGGCTGCGCCCCTTGGGTAGTTTATTGGGGAATTTGTGGTGGTGTACATAGGTT